ATAGTCAGAAAATTCATTCTCCAAGAAATTTAGAAAACGGTCCCCATTTAATCTTGCAGGTAAAAAAAACATTTTTTTTCGATTTCTCTGAAACGGAGCGAAAACGAGCATATGTCTATAGGACTTTTTTTCTTAGTTTTTTACTCCTCTACACGCTCCCGAAGTTTTGCGATTTAATTTGGAAACACCCTGTATATGTCCAATTATTGTATGAATTTTCAAATACTTTTAAATTAAGTACAAGATTAAATCGTAGTCCTGTGTAATAAAATCGAAGTCGAATTTATGATTATGGAACAGGTTTTCGTTGCCATTCTACTTCCGTCTTTTGAACCTCCGAATCCCCATGGTTGGGAGGATTAGGGCAACCAGAGAAGCTGTTCGGAACAACGTCGCTCTTCCCATGGATGGCATATAAGTGTTCCGCAACAGTCATCATCATTTGTGCACTGAAAAAATTACGCGAGATTATAATCTTGCGCGATGTTTTACATGTAACTTAAATTATTTAATTCAATGTACTTTTGGACCAATCTATATTATTCACATATTCAAACATTTTACTGTAATTAACACTTAAATCTTGTTACATTCACTACTAAAAATATTCAAAATATGACATTTTATAATATGGAAATATCTTCCATTTTTTTTATTCTGTTTAATTGTGAGTAACTCGGAGTAAAACAGGTGTAAGGAATACGTTTAATACATCAGATTAACGTAAAAATATATATATAAATATATAAAATATAAATAACAATCTCAAATCAATTAAATATCACCGCATTTACATTTCTTACATTAATAAACTTTTGGAAATTTGTGGAACTTTTTGTGTCGTCTGCACAAACCGAAAATTTATTATTTAAAAAGTATACTATTAAGTAACATTAATTTAATAGTTTTAACATAACGAATAATTAATAAATTAATAAAAAATCCAGATATGTGCACTAATTGTATTTTAAATATAATACTATACAACGGTACTTACTGACATTCTGAGTCCTATGCAGGTATCCTGTGCCACGACTAAAGTTATCGAAATAAGCGCGAAATAAAGGAGTTCGATGAGTTTTCTCATTTTGATTGATTGTTTGAAAGATTTCTATTTTATAACATATAGAAATATTGAGGAAATATTGTTTATATACGCAGTCTTACAATGTTTACTCACTATATTTTCGATATTACGAAGAATATTGCTTAAGCCTCGGTGGTCGAATGATGAAGATGTCCGCACGGAATATGGGAGATCCGCGTTTGAATCTCGGCTGAAGTAATATTTTTCACATTAAAATTACTTTATATATTTTAAAATGTTTATCAGCATCAATTATTAAGGTTTTTCTAAGATTTCTAAGATTTTCGAAGAGTGTAGTACCTTACATCGTGTAAATGAAAAATAAAAATGTCGGAAATGCGTTACTGCTTATATTGTCTGTTGTTTGAAAAGAAACATCTGTTTGGCAAACTAACAGCTGTTTAGCAAACAAATATCTTTTTTGAATAGATTATTACATAATTCTTATCTCTAATGTATTCTTATCTCTTCAAGTCGAATTATTAGAGAAGTTAATATCTTACTTATAATAAGGTATTAGTAATATGTCATTACAATTTTGTATTTCCTAGAAAGAAGTATCGTGCATTTGCTTGACATTAGAAAGTTTTATAACGCTCAATATATTATGTAAGATTAAAATGTAATATAATGATTTAATTATAAAACCTAATTCTATAAACTATTTTATCACATTTATTATCATTCTATTATGTTATTAAACAACTATATTATATATATATAAACTGTATCAGTAAAAAAGTTTTTTGACAAATTTTCTATAATCCTGTAAGACTATCAAAATATGAATTAGCTATTAAAATCTTGAGAATTTTTTAAATAAAAATAAATGTTATTGTTTTTGAAGTACAATGATTTTTAATTATAAATTTTTAATAATACCATTTGTTGTATTTTTTATTCGATTAAAATATTGCTGCTAGCTATTTACGATAAGAAATTTATTGCTAAATGCTTCAAATAAACGTATATACGTCATGTAGTGCAAATAGTAATGGACGTAATCGTCTAATCAGTTTCATTATTGTAGAATTAATGATTATGTGCACAACTTATTAATTACACATTTAATAATTCCTTTTTGTTCTCTTCTTATTTTTGTTATTACTTAACGTACAATTATGCTGAAGTATTGAAAGTAACTGTTTTCTCGAATATATACATTAAAAACAGCTAATTTTAAAATAAAAGATTATATAAAACAGTGCCTTGAAATAAATCTAAAACAATTTTAAATTTAATTATTATGACATTTTTTACTCACGTTTAATTATTTTGAATGCATATTTAAACTGTTTGCAAAGTTTATAATAAGGTGTTTTATGATCGTGGTGAGCTTCCTTACTTTTATTGTAGCTTAAATTTATAAAAGTTTTTCAAAATTTTATCTTTGATTATTCCACAATAATTCTTGTCCTTTCTTTTTAACATTCATCTGTGTGTAATTCTTGTATAGAAATTTTAGTGTAGTGGAGCTCACCATGATAAGATAGTTATTAAGCACACATTGTACATATTAGGGTGATTTGTTCTCTGAAGAGGGCTAAAAAATGAGCCGAAACATGTAAGCGCGTTTTTTAATAAAGAGGTTTGTGTTACAATATATTATTTGCTCACGACTACTGCGCCTGACTCCTATTACCCTATTTTCTCCAAATTTTTTTTTATAATAAGAATTGAAAATATTTTGAAAATTAATTTTTTTTTATACATAATTATTGCAGAACGATATTATCATATTGCTTAATCAAATTATCAAGAAAATTAGATGCTATTTTGTCTTTTGTCGTGTTAGTATTTACATGAAATTTTATACATATATGTTATAAATATGTATAAAATAAATGTATTTAACACACAGAAGTAAATCTGTCATTGCAAGTGAATTGAGGTACTGTATCACGATTGTATTTATAAACAAATAAATAATCCTATATGTATACAGCGTTAATATACATAGAATGCAGAAAATTTGAATGTAGTAATATTATAAAAGATTTTTATATTATATTAAATATATTTTTTAATAAACATGTATATATTACATACTTTTAGTAATAATTGTTAATTAATAAGACAAAGGATATTGATAACTAAATATTTTTCTAACTAAATATTTCTTTATTTAGAGTGTAAATGTAATATAGAAACTCTTTTTTTTAATATGTATAAAAAATAATGATTTACAGAAACATTAATCCATATTAGTATGGCATTTTTGGTCCAATATGCCTTAATTATCTTCCCCCGCCACAAACGAACTTTTTCGTTTCACACATATGTTAACATGTTTCATACATTCATGAGCAATCGCTCATTCGGTTTTTTTACTCTAAAATAATAAAATATAACATTATATAATATTTAGAAATGTTTTAATATTAAAAATTAATATTACATATGTATCGACGCAGGTTTAAATAGTATTTCAATCTCTTAATATATAGTATGTATGTAGATATAGGGTGCGTTTGGGGAGACGCTATACGTGCTATTTAGCGCTACAAACTGTTCGTGGAGCTGCAGATAGCGCTAACAAACACGATCATGACATCACTAATGGTAGTGTGTTACGTCACAACTGCGCGCTATCAACGCTATTCCTTCCGAGGTAGGTATTGGTAGCGTTAGCGTTTGCAAGCTCTGTGAACAGCACTGCTGTATTATCGCACATAGGTCGAATGTTATTTCAACAATCGTTATAGGTTATATACGTTCCTAAGTTGTCCATAGGTTCCCTGTACATTAAAATTTAGGCTGTGTTTCAAAAAGTGGCGTCTACAATAAGATTTTAAAGCGTAAAATTTAAGCTTTAAACCTTAAGCCATAAGAAATTGACTAATCACGGTCGAATATCAGGAGAACACTCGAATTTTATGTCATAAAATCTCATTTGTAGACGCCGCTTTATTCACTGCGAGTACTATAGACTTATTACGTACGTTTACTCTACGAAATTGTAAAGGGAGAAAAGTTTAGTCGGCGCCGTCGATGCTTGGGAACAAAATCCTCTACATTAAACGCTACCAACGCTCGCTAGAGTCGTTCATGGAGCTTACCAACGCTATCGCGCTATTGGCTCTACGAACAGTGTTGGTAGCGTTTGCGTCCATAACGCGAATAGTGTCTCCCTGAACGCACCCATAATATAGGGGAGAGTGGTCTAAATCGGACCTATTGGCAATTTTTTGCTCTCTACAAGGTGTAAATAAAGTCCGATCGTAAAACCGAAGGTGCCATTGGAAAGATCATTTAATTCCCTTCATTTTTGCTTCAGACCATTTTGACGTATCTCTCACCTGTGTTGAACTATAATGGAAAATGTAAAAACGTTTTTTCCGCTCCGATTTGGAACCAATGGTTCATTGGTTCCATTCCATGGGACCATCCCCTGAATCAAATCGAAAACTCTTATTTTTATGGATTTTTAGATAGAATTTTAGATAGAATAAAATATTTTAATGTATTTTTCTTAGTATTGAATAAAAACGAACAATTTGACAGCCAAAGATGAAAATTTTTCCAGAAAAAAGAATTACTAACAGTTTATATTATTAGAATTGAAATCAATAAAACTCAACTAATCTGAGTCATCAGACTCATGATATTTTACTGATTTAATTCCTTGGGCCAGATCTGGTCAGCTGATCATCAGTATTACAACCAGGCCTATAAATTATCTACTGTCCGATTTGGACATGGGTCCTTTCGAACTTTGGAACGAATTTCTACAATAAACCGCAAAAGTGACCACAAATGCTTCATATTTTTGAATTCTACACTCTTTAATTATCTTAAATCAATTACTTTTCACATTTTTGACACCTTTTAAATAACGATTTACAAGGATTTTCTTTTTCAAAAAAATTTTCGCACGGTTGCTGAAAATACATATTTGCGTCTATTTTATGAATATTATGAGAGAACTATCAAACTGCTATGTTCGGTGTCTTATAAGGACTTTACATTATAAATAGTACGCAAATCTGTTTAACTGTATTCATTTAAATTAAAAAGGTCCTATTTGGAACACGGTCCGATTTAAACCACTCTCTATATTATAAGTTTATATTAATTAAGAGGCATGAATTTATAATTTCTTAATTTTAATTTCATTTCTCTCGTTCTCTTCATCTGTATATGTTTACAAAATACGAAAATGAATGTTTTTTTGTATTATAATTTTTTTGCATATAAATGTGATTGAAATACATACCGGGAGATTCACAAAAACGTATTCAAAACAAAGATTTCTTGCTTTACCGATTAAAAAGCAGCCATAACCATAACGATCCTGATTAAAATAATGAACTTCATCTTGCTAATAAACTTCTGTAATCATTATTTTTTTATATAGTTTCTGCAATTTAATACGTATATACGATCTAAGGTACCTGAGCCGAATAAGACCCACCTAATTAATTTTATTTTTTTTAAATTCTATTTATGGAGATATTGAAATAAACTAAGTGAGAATCAAATCTTCATTTCATTCACTCCCAAAAATAAAATATATTATTTATATAGAATATATATAAATGAACGAAAAAAAATTTTTATTAAACTCTGACATTGGGCTTTATTACATGCATATAATAAAGCCCAAATAAAAAATAAATTAAAAATAACAAAGAAAGTAAACATTTTCTTTCTAAATCAGTTTTAAAATGATTATTAATCATAGAAAGGAAATTCCTTAGAACTTACTCTACTCTCAAATATTACAATTGGCTTTAATTTGTAATCAACTCTTCAATCTTTGAAAATTTTTAGCAATTTGAATGCAATTTTGGCTTCTTAAAAGATAGTAGCATTGAAAATTGTTATTCTCTGGCATAAACTCCACACATAACAAACAAATAATAATAGCTATAATAAAAATCACTTAAGTAGGCCTTATTTAATAAGTATATGTTTAAAAAAAAATACTTACACTTATTTAAAAAAAATTATTTATTAGAGTTATTTTCCATAGTTAGGAAGTTGAATAATATATTATAATGAATTATAATAAATTATGAAACATTGTACACTGGTAAATTTTGCAGCCAATTGTTAGAAAAATGGTTCATACTAGCCTTATATACACAAGTTTTTGTTGTGTTAAACAAATGTGTTGCTATCGATTTCAATTCTTTAATCCTTTTTTATCTATTTCCTATAACACATCTTTTAAGCATGTAGTGCAGGCGTAAAGCGAGTTTTAAAGTAATAAATTTAAAAATGGGCCTTATTTAGTACCTAGGTCTTATTCGGCTCAGATACCTTATAATTAGTTCAATATTAAAACTACTATTAAAAAA